ATTATATTATATTATATTTATAATTTTATATATATATAGGTATTTAATAATAATATATATTATAGGTATTTAATATAAGTATCCTTCATCTTCGTAGTTAATTTAGAAAATTTCGTTCTTGCAAAATTTTTCAGGTTTTTTAGCAAAAAAACTTTATGCCAGCTACCGAAAATCGGCACGAACTTTTCGGCCAACCTAATAAATAAATATTAATCTCAATTTTCTCAATCGATAACCGATAAAAGTAAAATAAGTTTTGTTTTTTTTAAATCTGATACTTTTCATCAATGAATACTTTCTTTGTTCTTTTTTTTTGGTTTCTTTTTGAAAAATTTAATCTATCACATATTTTTTTTTCTTCTTTTATCAAAATAACCGATGAGACTTCGAGAATGATCCAGGAAAAGAGACGATCAAAGTGTTGCTGCACACAAAGTTTAAAAATAGTATTGAAAGTTGCCCTTGGATAAATTACTGTGACGTCATAAACATGGACGAAGCTATTCACCAATGAACCGCGCCGAACGATGCATTCATCCATTATTTTGTCTGTGTATTATCATCAATAATTATATCATATATATATATGAATAATTAATATGCGTATAAACGTATATAGTAAGAGGAATTTCGTTGAAAATTTCTTTTTTATTAACTTTTGCACGTTGCAACGATTAAACGTAAAGAAAATCATGTCGTTTCGTTGTTACGAAGAGTTTCATACATGACAAGCAATTTTCCGCTTAATGAAAGTTTTCGCGCTTTCAAGCTTAAGAAATAATAATGCTTTTACAGTTTCTATAGGATTTATAAGCACTCAAAAAAAGAAAAATAATGTTATTTTTCTATACAACGAAATCCCATAAATCACTCAAATTTATCGATCAATCATATCATTATCTGTTTAATAATGAATTATGCATTTAATTACAATCCAAATTAAATTATAATATTTATTTATATATGTGTTATTTTATTATATTATTATATGGTACATTTATCCATATTTTGTATATTTAATCCTTATTGGTTGTAAGTCATGTGAGAGATGACAAAACGTATTGAAATTTCCTGTCTTAATAAATAATTAATTAATAATTAATAAAATGTCATATCTTTGTAATAAGAACTCTTTTTAAAAAAATTAATAATTTCTAATAATAATATTATTCTTACAATACTAAAAATATTTTACATATTTACTAAAATCTATTACAACCTAGTGAGAATCAAGTATAAACAGCTGACGATCAATAAAAGTTTATGTAACATTATTACATGTAAATTATTATATAATAATATTTATTTTTATTAATATTTATTATTATTTTCTTTTTCTAGATAGCAACTTTGTGTTGGGAAATGCCCAAGTTCCGACGATTTACCCGATCGTTTATTGCTCCGACGGATTCTGCGAACTGACAGGATTCGCGCGAGCGCAAATCATGCAAAAGGGTTGCGCTTGCAAATTTCTTTACGGTGCGGAAACGAAGGAGGAGGTTAAAGCGATGATCGATAAGAGCCTCGAAAGTAAAACAGAACTGAAGATGGAAGTCGTATTTTATAAAAAGAATGGTAAGAAAGAATTTGTTGTTGTTGTTGTCCAATTAAAAACAAAATATCATCTTGTAAAGTAATATCAAAGGTTTTCTTTTTGGTTTCCTTTTTTGCAAATTTACTTTGACAAAATGAAATTCGATCAATACGAGTAAAAAATGACCACCTTGGTACACGTCATAAATATTAATATTATTTCAAGATGGAGACATATCGATGGTAAACGTAAACCGAAATAAATGATACATTTTTGAAAATAAAAATAACACATTCGACCTTATTTTATTTAAATGCAATGTGGTATACATATCTACTACAACTACTATTACTGTCACAACCATCACCATCACCACTATCACCACAACCACGACCTATTAATTTCTCCCTAATATTCTACCGTCGAAGATTAAATTTGCATTGAAGTAAAGAATCTGTCCCGTTGGAAGTAAAATTTAATCTTTCCTTCCACTCACTGGACGCAAATAAAAATAAATTATAGGTAACAGCAGTAGTAATAGCAATAGCAGCAGATTCCCACCACCTCTCTTCTTCTTCGTGGTAGTAACAGTTTGTAGAAAAATCACGTCGATATTTCAATTTCTTTTCATTTCCTGTTGCCGATACAAATAACAAAAATTAAGGATTGCTTGTTCATTGAATCAATTTATTCAAATATAATCATTTGAAAATGTAAACGTTACCTTATATTATTTCCCACGTGAAAATCTAAACATGGAAACAAGAAGTAATAAAAAAATAAAAATAAATATTTATTTATTCAATGTCAATGCACAATTAAAATACAAAGAAAAAGGAAGAATAAAAAGGGGATAATTATTGGAATTTTTCGATAAATAAAAATTCTACAACCGGTGATGTTATAAATTAATTACTCATTTGCAAAATTGATTAATTTCATGAAACAAAGGGTAAAAAAAAAGTAACAAAAAACAATTGATAAAGTAATTTAAATGGTCGTTTATTATCATTTGTTATTAAACGATCGTAAATAGCCATTTAATACCATTAAATCCAATTATTCAAGAGAAAATTGATTTGAAATATAAAAAAAGTTCAATTAATTAATCAATGAAGTTATTTTGTAATAATAAAATTTATTTAAAAAAATTATTTACTGGTTTCATTTCAACTTTTTAGTAATCAAATTAAATTTATCTAACGTTCGAATATTATTACTAACTAAGCATAGTTATAACATTTTATATTTAATATCAAGACGTATTTATTTCACTCTGACTTTATAAATCTCACATAAATGGTTTTAAAATAGTTTACTACTTTAATCCTCTTTCTCACTATTTATCTTTCTTTCTTTCTTTTTTCTGTAAATCCCAGAATTTCTATCGATTTTATATTATCACAGATAATATACACCATGAAAAACAAAATAAACTCGAAACAAATATTTATTTATATATTTAAAGAACTAAAAACGAATAAGAAGAAGAAAATGAACACAACATTTTTTTTTTATTATACATTAAACATATAAAATAGCAATATTATAATAATATAATAATATTTATATTAATTTTATATTATATATTTATTATATAATATAATATATATTATATAGATTTTATTTTATAATATATTTATATATTTATATATTTAATTTATTTATATATTACATATTTTGTTATATATAATTTTATTATATATTTATTATATATTAAATATTATTATTTTATATTATTATTAAATTTTATTATTTAAATTTTATTATATTATTATATTAATAATTATTTATATAATTAATTATTATTACTATTATTATATATATATATATATATACAATTAAATATAATAATATTTATATTAATTTTTTAGGAAACCCGTTCGATTGTTTATTGGATATCGTTCCAATAAAAAACGAAAAAGGGGACGTTGTCCTGTTTTTGGCATCCCACAAGGACATCACACTTACGAAAAATCTTCAGTTCTGTGAGTTGCACGATAGTGGTGAGTTTTAACTATGCTTTGCTTATAAAAAAAAAAAATATACACACACATCGCATTTTATACCTAATCGTAAATAAATTCCGTCGTATTTGAGTGAGATTCAACAGTGTCGAATAAACAAGGACCAAAGAGTTTCGTAATGTATGCCATTCGATATTGTTCATGCCCTTTTTTCAACTTGCGATTCGATTACATTTATATATATATATATATATATATATATATAAGTATATAAATATATATATTTATTTATATATATTATTACATATATATACAATACACAACACACGCTTTACGCATGGCGATCACGCGTCACGGATGTATAGGTAATGCAACACCTGTTTACCAAGCACATGACACATCTAGGTTGCACGCTTAAATTACTTTTTGCATAAAAAAAACACATACACACAAAATATATAACTTTTCTAATTTTATTTATTTATTTCCTTCATCAATGTAAGATAAACAATACACCATGGTGTTTTCAAACCAAATTATTTATTCAAATTTTTAATGTAATTAATATAATTATCTAATTTAATATAATTATTTATTATTATTTTAATAATTTAATATAATTATATAATATTTTTAATTTTTCTTAACAAATAATTGTAAGAATTCAATTTGAATTTTAACAAAATTATTACTAGAAGTTTCAAAATTCTTTCTAAGTTTTGATAAAAAGTAAATCATAATAATTTAAAAAGTTATTTTTATTTTAAAACTAATCTGAGAAGATATATATATATATATATATATATTTTATGGTTAAATTATAAATACCAATTTTGAAACTCTTAAATATTTTATTAGATTACGTGTTTTATATTTATTTATTTTTATCTCTCTTTTTTATCTCTTTCCTCTTTTCTCATTTTACTCGAAATTACCTAAACGGTATCTTATTTACGATGAAATAACTAACTTCGAATTTTCTTTGAATTCTGAAACTTTAATATCTGCCATATATATACTTATATATATATATTTATTATATTTATAAAGAGTTTATTTTACAAAGCTGGAGATGTTTAAAGAAAATTCTTGACATTTCTAAAAGAAAATTTCACATTTCTTATAAGAAATAAAACTCTTTTAGAATTTATATATTTATTATTATTATTATTATTATTATTATTATTATTATTATTATTATTATTATTATTTTTTGTCATAGAAAACATGAAGAATGCATAATAACATTGTTCTTCTCATAATATAATAGCTATGATATTAAACATGTAGACTAAATTCAATTATCACCTACATAACGTGTCTCTATATATGAACATTGGATATTGAATTACCATAAACATAAATATTGAGCGAATAAAATTCGTTTTTATTTCAACCTGGATTCATGAATAATGTTAATTCAAATCATATTTATAAGTAATAAATGTCTTATCAATATGAAATAAAATTTTTTACCTTTAATCTAAAAAACAAAATGACAAGCATATCAAAAAAGTTCATCGATGATTACATTGAAAATATAAATATAACTCAAATAAGAAATATTTATTTATACAATGAATCATATTTTATTCAAAATGAATAATTATATGTATACGTATACGTGTTTGTAAAAATTCACCTACGTATAATGAAAGAATTTTTTTTCACACAAAACAAAAAACAAACAAATGCATTTTAATAAGATTTACATTTGTAGTGTTAGTAGAAAACCGCGTAGAGTTTTAAAAATCACGCTGAAAAATTTTTTTCTATTTTTTTTTTGTCACAAGTGGTCACATGAGATTATGAAAAAAAAAAGAACCTTTTACAGTGCGACGGTATAACTTTATACTTTTCAGATGCAAATGGAAATCTTGATCCTGAAGCACCACCAGCTAATTACGGTAGAAGGAGAAGTCGTGCTGTACTCTATCAACTTTCTGGACATTATAAACAGGACAATAAACACAAGATAAAATTGAACAACGTGAGTATTATTTATGATAAATTTTGTAACTAACAAAGAGAAACATAAATAATTATCTTCTAGTATCTTTCAAACGAATATCAAATTGTTTGAACTATAATTATTTATAATTGAATAAGTATTCGTAACGAGTATTGTTTTTTTCTATAAAATTATCAACGCATTGTGTAATTTATTAAATTAATTTAGACAATTTGTAAAAAACAATTTTATGAAAAACAAAAAATTACTTCCAAAGTATATTTGTGTTACGATCAATTTAGAAAATCCGAGAATTTCCTAGATTCCCCAAGAGGTTTTGGATTAATCTAGAAACATATGATTTAGTTGATTAAGCTTAAAGTACTGTAAAGTGTTTTGTAAACTCATGTAAGTGAAAAAAATCGTGTAAATGACAAAATTTGTACACAATATTGATAACAAGATTTAGTCAATCACCAAACTGTACTTCCAGTGGGGTATGTTTAGAATATGGGTGTTGTAGGGGGAGAAAAGAGAACAAAGTGACATTAAACTCGTGTAAGTAAAACAAACCATGGAAATAGAAAAATTTGTTTAAAATTTCCTGAACGGCTTTTGGTTAATTATTAAAATATATGTACTTCAGTGGGGAGGGGGTGTTTTAGAACATGTTAAGAAGGGGTTAGAGTTATAGTAAGTGGAAGAACAACTCAACTTTTAACATAAACTGAGCACAGTTGATCTTTAGAACAACGGTATGCGTCTTTAATTATTAATAATTGAATTAACCTAATTTTTTATATTAGAAAAAACAATTTTTTTCTTAGATTTTGTCAGGGATCTTTTTTAGGATTGTGTTAGGGTTTTTTTATTACAATTTTCTTATTAATTTGATCTAAGATTGAAGGATCATAGAATAAATCAGAAAATTATTACTTTATATTTATAAATACAAAATTATATATATAATATTTACATTTATTTAAAAATCAGGGTTTTTTAATTACGAATAATTTCTTATTAGTTTAATCAATGATGGGATGACCAGAGAATAAATTAGAAATTAATATTTATTATTATTATTATTATTTTTAAATACAAAATTATATATATAATATTTACATTTATTGAAAAAATTTATATTTTAGTTCAAATAATTACTGTATAAACGAATTATAATATATGATATAGGTTAAATTTACTTTTTCGAGAATACATTTACTTTTGACAAACTATGATAATAATACGATGATTTGTGGTCGAACGCCATTTCCATATCTATACTATAAGTTCTGGCACACGCGTAGTTTACTTATTAAATTTCATGGTCTCACCTCTGCTAGTTGGTAACTCGGAACTGATAATTTACTTAAGGATCCATCGTAATAATGAAATTTACACCGTGTTGCTTGGAAAAGGGAAAATCCTCATTCTTTATGAGTTATGTTCGTTTTGATAATTAATGATTTTGTAATTTTGCTAAACTTCATACAAATTTCTATCTCAATAATTTCAATACGTATTATGTATATATATATGATCTAAAATAACGAATTTATAATAACACAAGCTCGTGATAATATTCAAGAATTTTTTTATGTACAAAATAATTAAAATAAATAAAATAAAAATGAAAAACGTATCTAGAGATAATAATTATTATAAAATTTCTGGACAATATTTATAACAGAAATATTGTATAAAAAAGTAAAATGCTTTGACTTTAAACAACCTCCTTTGTGGTAGCAATGAAAATCGTTCCTCTTTATGAATTTCATTAGAGAACATAATTGCAGATTATAACGTTGCGGTTTAGCATCGCATGGTGAATGCAAATTGTTTTATAAGCATAATAATTCTGAATAGATAATATACCTATTTTTTAATTTCTCTTTGACCGATGTATCTATATATATATGTGTTTTGTTTGAAAAGATATTTTCCGATTCGACTAACCAACATTATTAATAACCAGACCTTGAAACCTCTTTTCAATGAAAATAATCAAGGATTTTAATTAGCAAATGTTAGAACAGAATGTGTATGTCAAACCACGTACAAAAGTATTCTTTACTTTTAACACTGCGAATAAACTCTACTCGTTTAGTTTATACTGCTAAGTTTCCGACTACATGAAGTTTCCTTTCATATAATCAGAGGTCATCCAATATAATGGATTTCTCGGAAAGAGAGAGAGAGGAATAGTGAGTTACAAAACTGGAAACATGCGTATATGTTCGTCTAACTGTAAAACGGTTTACCTAGTTAAAATGTGATACTTTTTTTTTTTTTAAAGTTTCTTTTTCGATAAATAATCAATCGTGAAAGTTACATTAATTTTTAACCCTTTGAGTGGTGAATACTTTTAACTAAAATGTTTTGTAGGAACGGAATAATTTATTATTAACCAGATTCTATATAATAATAAATTATATTATATTAATAATATTAATATAATTTAAATTATATTAATATTAATTATAATTATATTTATTAATTATATTTATATTAATTTATTATATTATATTATTATAATTTATATTTATTATATAAATAAAAATATAATTATTATGTAATTATAATTTATAATAAACTGATAATTAAAGTTTTTGTTTCTGAATATAATTTAATTAATTAATATAAACATTATATTATTTTACATTAATATTAACAAATAAGTTGATTGTCCACTCTGGTCTTTTTTACCAAACGCATATATGCATCCATAGCACTCTAAGGGGTAATGACGTACCTTTTTTTTTTAATTTGTTATACTTATACAAAACTAAAACAATATAATAAAATAATAATAAAATGTTCACTCTCTACGATGGTTACAGACCCTATTGCATTCCACGGCACCACCATTACCGGAGTACAAAACATCAGCGATTAAAAAGTCGCAATTCATTCTAAGTCATTATGGAATTTTTAAGTCATGCTGGGATTGGTTGATATTACTAGCAACTTTCTACGTGGCAGTCGTCGTACCATACAATGCAAGTTTCACTAACATCGATAGACCAACCATGGTTAGCGACGTTGTTGTGGAAGTTCTTTTTATTTTAGGTTAGTATATACTATTTTTAAATAACACTTTTTCAACCTCATATATATATATATATATATATATATATATATATCAATTGCCTCTTACTTCATCTCATAAAAAAAATTCAAACTATTATTCAAAAGTTTTTACTATTTTCGACCTGTCGTCAAATAATCAACAATAGCATAAGATGAGCCTGACCCATATACGGTATTCACTACCTACCGGATACAGGTACATGCAGTATATCGAGCACCTTCTTGACTACAATCGAACTCGAACTTTCATTGAAATGCGAAACTCCTTTTCAAACCTTCGTTCGTTTATTCGTTCATTCGTTCGTTCGTCTTGGAATGATTTTATCAAACGAATGGTCGATGTGACATCCATGAAAATCGAACGAAGAAACCGTAAAGATTTTCTTCCAATTCTTCTTCGAATGTTCATTAATAAGAAAATTGCGTATAATATAATTGAATCTAAAGTTTCATAGAATACCAATTGCCATTCCTTTTTCTTCTTCTAAGTACTATTTTTTGCAATAATTCATTTGAGAAAGGAGCAAGAAGAAGAAGAAGAAGGGTTCTCTTTTCTTTTATCCAATTGGTGATCTGAGAAGTTTGTTACGTCAGCCTATACCTTCACCCTTTTCTCTCAACCCCCTCCTCCCCCTCCTACCCCATCGTCTCTACTTTAAACGCGCACCCTTCAACCCTCTTTCACCGTTCTCTTTCCTCTCCTCCAAATCAAGTCTCATTCTATCTTTCTCTCTCCTTTATCATACTCCGTCTCGCATTTGACTTTTTTTTTTTGCTGCCCACTCGAGACCGTTTTTTTCCCCAGACGCGAACACAGCGGAATTCACTTTTTCTCCCAGTTACATCTATTTACCACATCCTCGACGTCAAATTCATCCGCGTTATAATCAAGTGGGTGGAATTTTTCATTCCACCCCAAACGAAATTCTTGGATTCGGACGAATTTGACGATGAAGAAAATGTTACACCATCTTGAAAAATTATTATTTACTAGTAAGCATTAAAGTTTTAAAAAAGAAAAATGCAGAAATGTTGTTTATCGTGATAAATGAAATCAGATTAATCATAAGAAAAAAAAAGAAAAATAACATGTGTGCAGATCAAACGTGTAAGAAGTGAAGCCTTCAAAAAACTAAGTTTCGAGAGAATAAGACGAATGCAGAATATCAGGTATAGGATATATATATATAATTGTAGTTTTTATTTGTTATAATATTATTATTATAATATTATAATTCATCATTCATCATTCATACTCTATCATTCTTTTACGAGCCTCGTAAAAGAGCCTCTTGAACTGAACGAGACTCGTTTACGAGGCTCTTTTACGAGGTTCGTTCACGAGGCTCGTTCACGACGCACGAGACACGAGACACGGGTCACGACACACGGGGCACGACACACGACACCACACGTGTGTGAATTGTGTGTGTGTTTGTTTGTCTGTGTATGTGTGAATTATTTTCCTCGATAAACATTTTACGATTTTTGTGTCTATCTTTGACTATCGCATTCATCAATTTTTATTGCTTGAATTTGGAAAAGTGTAGTTTTTATCAGCTAGTCCACTTCGAGACCATAACGGTGACCTTTGTTATATATGGTAATAATATTATAATAAATAAACCCTATAATTAACTTACTCCTAAAACTGTGCATTCTTCTCATTCTCTCGAAACTTAGTTTTTTGAAGGTTTCACTTCTAATTATATATTGGTTTAACAATATAAAAAATTCGCAAACTAGAGAAAAAGGTGTGAAATTAAGCATAAAAACTCGATAAGGAAGATTCCAGATTTCAACGGAACGTGTTCGTGCATTTCGTGCACGCCAGAAGGCGTTATTAAATGTGCAGAATAATAATCTCTAATACGGGTAATAACGCGTTTACTGTTAGAAATAGTGAAAACGATAATCGTAAGTCATTAAATAGCTTCCAATCAATATATTTCTTTCTTAATCCTTTTTACTTATACTAGACAATCATAATCTCAATGGATCATTTTTGTAACATTATTTTTTATTTTCTATTCAAAAGATTATCAATTGGATATTGTGAATTATGATTTAAGTGTCTTTCGACCGAAAATTAATGCCGGGCAGTGTCGTTAAAATCTGCAGAAAGAAAATATTAGGGAAGTTTCAAAGAGTTCGATGGAACGCGTTCGTGCATTTCGTGCACTCAGGGAGGTGTTTAGTTATCATACATATTTTAGTTACCATAAGCAACTCGTCTCATTTCTTCAAATTGAGAACTTGCTTACTGTATAATATGCTATGTATTATACGTCAATAAAACGTAAAATAATTTTTGAATGTGGTAACAATATTATAATAATAATAATTATAATAATAATATTATAACAAATAAACCTTACAATTATCCTACACCTGATATTCTGCATTCGTCTCATTCTCTCGAAACTTAGTTTTTTGAAGGTTTCACTTCTAACACGTGTAATCTGTACACATGTTGTTTTTATTTTATTATTACTTTATTAGTATTTTATATATTAGTATATTATATATATATATATACTAATTTATAATATATATACTAATATAATATAATATAATATATATACTAAATTATAATATATATACTAATATGTATACTATATATATAATTTATATTTACATATTTATAAAAATTTTATATTTTAAATTTATATTTAATTACTTAAATATAATAATTAAATATTATATATTATAATATAAATAAATATAATATTCAAATAATTATATTTTATTATTTAAATATAAATTTAAATAGTTTAAACTTATATTTATGTATATTTATATATAGAATATATATAAAAATTATTATTTTTTCAAAATTCCATTATTTTTGCCAGTACTTAGTATAAGAAACGGTTTACAAATTCGTACTATTTAAACTAAAAATAACAGTAAAATTCTTCCTTAAGTACCAAATATAGCGAAAACCTAGAATTGTTCAGCCAGTCATAGTATAAGAAACGGAAAAAATATGCCGGCCGCGAATGTGTTAAGATAGTTGTCAAGATATAATAGGTTACTAAAGTGTAATAAATTGAATGAACAAATGTTAATTATTTATCGGTATTAAAACACATTCAAGATTGTACTTTTAAGGATGAAATAAAATTAGATAATTTTTATTTAAATGATTTTTTTGTTATCTTTTTTTTAATTGAAAATATTGACGATTGAATCTTTTGATATCTCGTAATATCATCCGATTACACAATTCGAAATACTCTACGTCATTACTTCACGTGTTTGCTTTGTGAACACTTTAGGAAGGTTGGAAACGAGAATGTCAGACGATGAAAGCATCTTCCTTTCACCTTATACTTCGGGTTCAAGATGTTCGTCAAATTATTATCTGTATATACGAAGGTTCTTCCTTTGAAGTAGTATCAATGATGTTAAGGCAAACACTATAAAGCTAACGTCATATGAGTTACAAATTTGTTAACTTTGCAACTTTAGCTAGCTGATCAAGTCTTAAGTGTTCAATCTTGAGTGTTCAAATGTCAAAGAGACAAAAAGCAAGAGTCAAAGAGTTAGAAGGAGAAAATGAAGGATAAAGAGAAAGAGAAAGAGAAAGAGAAAGAGAAAGAGAAAGAGAAAGAGAAAGAGAAAGAGAAAGAGAAAGAGAAAGAGAAAGAGAAAGAGAAAGAGANGAAAGAGAAAGAGAAAGAGAAAGAGAAAGAGAAAGAGAAAGAGAAAGAGAAAGAGAAAGAGAGAGAGAGAGAAACTCGAGTACGAAAATTAGTTAGGTCTAATATAATCCTGTTAATAAGTAGGATTAAATGGAATTCTCTACTTTACGTTAGAAACCCCTTTGTTTAGTGAACTGTGTCTCTCTTCATGCAAATGAGAGAGAAAGAGCGAGAGATACTTTGACCAATGTCCAATTGCATGATTTACTTGCAAACTATACTCAATGACTATTCGAGTAGCAACGTTACAAATGAGTTTGGTGGAAATCCAAATGCTTGTACACGTTAAATTGATTAACGCTACGTCGTAACTACTACTCAAATAAATGTATATATGTACCGAAAATAAATCAATACACGTTTACAACGAAAAACAACATGACACGAGAGATAACTGTCTACAGATAACTGAAACAAAAACTTATAAAAATCATTTATGACTTTTATATTTTACGATATTTATTTATAAATATATATTTAATATATATATTATTATATTTATTACGAAATAAATATAATAATATATATAATTTAATATATATTATATAATTATTATAATAATTTTATATATTTTATTTATTTTTATTTATTATTTTCTTTTTATTTATTTATTTATATTTTATATATTTTTATTATATATAATATAATTATATAATAATTATATATTTATATATATATTTGTATATATTTTACGATTATTTTTTCATAATTTCATTGAAATAAAACACATGGAAAATTAATTGATCAAATAATTTGTTGATTTTCAAAGTCAATCGTACATTCCAATAATTTCACATCATAAATGATTTTTTTATTTTAACTTTTAGATTCAATTTGATCGTATATATCTTATTTTCCTTTTTTTTTCTCCTATACGATAATATTTTCGATTTTTCTTCTTTCAAAAAAGTCTCTCTCGTATCAGACAAGAAAAAAAAGGAAAGTAAAGCTTATATATATTTTATCGTTGAATTTAATTTTCCTTTTTTGTTTTTCTTTTATTATAGATATCGTATTGAATTTTCGAACAACTTACGTCAGCACAAAAGGCGAGGTCGTAAGCAATAGCAAAAGTATCGCAGTGAACTACGTGAAGAGTTGGTTCTTTGTTGATCTCGTAGCAGCTTTACCCTTCGATTTTCTCTACGCTTCTGATGTTTATAGCATAGAGGTTGGTATACTTACTATAATACTTTCATATAATTTTTATATTATTCTATTAAAAGAAAAAAAACAAAAAAACAAAAAGAATACAAGTAAACCGCTTATATTAAATCATCGAATTCACGTATAATACGATTTTTATTTTAAACTATAAGAGAGGACTATGGGATTGTAGAATTTTATATTAGTAGAACTTATTTACAATTTTATTTATGATATATTATAATTATTTATTATATATTATTATTTTAATTAAATATAATATATTAATATTATAATTTTCTATATTATTATTATTATTATTAATATATTATTATATATTATATATTTATTAATAAATTATTTATTATAATATATTATATATATATATATATATTTATAGTTATTTATATTTGTTTATATTATCGAAATTCCACATATTAATAATATATGTATTTATGACACGTGTTTTAAACCTGTTTAAAATTTTATTGATAGTTATATATTATTGTAGTAACTACAATAATAAACATTTAAATGCAATAGATTAGTATCATCTATTTCGAAAGGTTATTTTAAATACTTAATTAGGTTTATTTATAGCAAATTTTGAAAATTGATAAAATGACTTTTAAGTGTTATTACATACCACATAAATTTTATTACAAATCTATAACTAATTTATAATAATGTAAATATCAATAAGCTGCTTGCAATTTCCTATAATAAAATTCAAATCTCGTCGATAAATAATAATCCGTGGTTATGTACAATAGTACTATTATTTCCTATGCATGTATTTCGTAAATTCTCGTACTTGTTATAATATCTCATGAATATTTGGCGAAATTTGAAGAGACGTTTGAAAAGCATAACTAACTGCTACTACCTGCTGCTATCTGCTTCTTGATCAATCAAATGGAAAATAATATTTAACGTGATTGTTTCATAATTTGGTTTGATCGAGCGGAAAAATTGATAAATTATTTTTAGCAAGTTATTTAAATGACAGTACCATGGGTTTGATACATTTTTTTTCTTTTTTATTCGACTGAACATTCGTATTTTACACGTCAGTAAATATGATGACAGATGTGAACCAAGTTACTAATTCGAATGAATCGATTTTTTTTTTTTTATATATATAAAAGGAATTTTATAATATTGTAATATTATTTTATTACAATATTATAATTGTAATTTTACAATTATAATATTATTTTATTTATATTATATTAATTATATATAATATTAATTAAAATTAAAATTATAGAATATTTTATTTATAAAATTATATAATAATATTATATACTAATATTACTAACTATATATATAATATTATTATTATTATTATCATCTTAATTATATATAATATTAATTATAATACAAATATATTATATATGTAGTATAAATTACATATATATTACATACATAATAATATATATGTAATATATATTAATATTCTATCTATGTGTGTGCATCTATAACGTGAATTTCTTACTCTCAACATGCCGATGCAATAATCAGATGTTTATTTTAAATGACATTTTCTACGAATGAATACTTCAATCACCTCTCATTATAATAAATATGCAAAATTCGAATAAGATTTCGCAATTATTATCCTATTGTCAGAGTGTATAAGATGAAATCTAAACTCAAATTCCATATTCACAACGTTTTTTAAAAATTTAAGAAAATGAATAGAAAAATTGCATTTTTGTTGTCTCATAAAAAAGATCCAAATTTTACATTTGATTCGTTAAAGATAATAATAATAAGAAAATCAATGTATGTAATCAATTAGTTCATGAATTTATCATTCAATGAATTTATCGAGATCAGTTTTATTCGTGATTGCACAATAATGTTGATTAATGCGTTTTTTTTTTATCGTTACGAATTATTTTGCTAATATACGTAAAGCACAATTTTCTCCTTTCAATATCTTTTTTTGTTTCTTTTCTATTAAACGTTTAAAGAGCAATAATTTCATATTCAGCAAACGGTTTACGTAACATTTTTTCTCGCCACGATATTATAGAGATTTGATTCTTTTCTTTTTTTTTCTTTCTCGCTTTTCAATTCCCCCGATGGTCATTAAACGATCTTAATGAGAAAACGTCAGCAGAAAAATTTGTAATTAAAATTCCAAATTTATAAGCGTTGTTTAATTAACGAAATTCATTGACAAAGATTTCGCGATAAATTCTTACCAATTCGTAAAAGGAAAATAAACTAATGTTAAATTTTTTTCTAACGATTAATTCGATTCTTGACAGATATTTAATATTTTTTCTTTTTTTTTTATTAAAAATAATTATTCTATCAGATGATAACGAATTAGGGAAACAGATGAGATAATTTAACAATCACACGTGAACAATACATTATCGAATTTGCGGTTTACGTTAATTTCAAATATCCGTCAAATGTATCTTTAGTAATTCACCTATGTTTAACAAATACCTTGATCGATAACACGCTTCTAACATACTATCCCAATTCATTCGAACTAGCTCGGTTGCAACCCACTATATAAATTATTTATAAGTTTAATATATATAAATATTATACATAATAATTTTTTTTATAAATAATAAATATAATAGTTTTTAATTTAGTTTAATTTTAAGTTTAATATAATATATTTATATTTAATATATAATACATTAAATTTTAATATATTAAATATAACATAAATATTATATTAAAAAATAATATATTAGTATATTTGTATAAACTGTTGAATTCCCTTTTTAAAAAGTCCTTCGATTTTTTATTGACACAAATTAAATGTGAGTGTACTCATCGAAGAAATTTTGATTACTTTTTGGTAACCCTAACATTATAGATAATGAAGTTAATTATTTTAAATAACAATTAATTCATTTTACTTTATTTTTGATTTTACTTTGAATTATATGAATATTGTTAATAGTATTATGAAATAATGATTTAAATATTATTGATATTTTGGCTTTATCACAGGAATCAAGAAACAATAATATTCATCTAGTGAAATTGACCAGACTATTAAGGTTGGCTCGTCTGTTACAAAAGATTGACAGGTATTCGCAATATAGTACTATGATCTTGACAATGCTAATGTTACTTTTTATTCTGGTCGCACATTGGTTGGCTTGTATTTGGTATGTCATTGCTGAAAAAGAACGATTGAGAAACGACAAGGAATGGAATCTTGGTGAGTTTACAATTTCAATTATTTTTCAAACATTGCATATCAATTTTGTTTAAATTTTTACACAATTATAAGAGTGTTTGTTCATCAAAATATTTATAATAAAAATTTATGAAACAAAGTGTTATCAAACATTAAGAATAAATTTTCGAAATATTTTCTTGAAATAATGCAAACATTTTTTCTCTCCTCTCCTTCATCGAAAGGGGTTGTTCTTTTATATTATATATTTATGTAAGGAGAAAAAAAATGAAGAAAAGAAAAACCTTTTCACCTTTTTACGAAAGGCAAATGAAGTATGATAAAATTTCATTTTTTCCATATCACTAGGAAGAAAGAAAGAGAGAGAGAGAGAGAGAGAGAGAGAGAGAGTGTGCGTTTAATGAAAAACTTTTTAATAAAAAAAAAACATTCATATAATCTTGATGGTTTGAACCTTATACTAGAACCAATGGAAACATATAACTTTAATGCTAGAAAAGAAAAAGAAAGAGAAAAGAAAAATGAACTTGAACAAACTAAGACGATATAGCTAGCTTCTTTCACCTTAAGTAAACGTATTCTTCAAATTTATTTTCTTTTTGTATTAAGATAAAAGGGGTATCGTATATGATCAAATAAAAAGGTATTGTTAAATTTACGTTGGGAAGTTTTTTATTTGAATTTATCGATTGTACTTTATCAAGGACAAAAAAAAGTACAAAGTTAAAACGATAATAGAAACGTTAAAATAAAACATTAAAATTGAACCTATATCTCTTGAAAGGCATTGACGAATTAAAAGAATTATCTTAGATTAATCTTAGATTATTAGAATTCTCGTAAAAAATAAAATGATTCAATTAAATTGACTATTAATCTTTGTTATTCGATAATTAACTCGTTTATTTAACTCTCGGGTATTATACCTCGTAAGAGAAAAAGGTATGAAAAATAATGCAATAATCGATCACGTTATATATCATGTTCTAGGTTGGATACATACTTTATCTGAACGTTTAAAAATTCCTGTTCATAATATCACCAATACGGAAAGTTATATCACAGCATTGTACTTCACTTGCAGCAGTTTAACTTCTGTCGGATTTGGTAACGTCTCGGCTAATACAATTTCCGAAAAATTTTTTTCCATCTGTATAATGCTCATAGGTGGTTAGTAACAATTTTTTTTCTAATAATTCATTGTCTAAGAACAAAAGAAACAAATCTATATATATATTTCATTTTAATTGTTTTTTTTTCCTTTAGCTCTTATGCATGCTGTCGTATTTGGTAACGTCACGGCAATCATTCAAAGAATGTATTCGAGAAGATCGCTCTATCAAACAAAATTGCGTGACTTAGAGGATTTTATGGTGCTTCATCAAATCCCTGAGGAATTGAAGCAACGAATGCAAGATTACTTTCAAACCATGTGGTCTTTGAATCATGGTATCGATATACACGAGGTAAAATCGATAATATTATCTCTTAATATGAAATTTATTATAACGATGTAAACTATTACAAGATGAATCAACTATTTTATTCCAAAATTTCTAATTAACATTTCGAAATTATTGTTGATAATAATAATAATAATTAATTGATTAATTAATTATGAAAATTCAATGAAATATTAAAGTATGTATTCTAGGTTACTAACTTTAAATATAATATCAAAAATAATTTGTAGACGCTGAAACAATTTCCAGAAGAACTTAGAGGGGACGTTTCGATGCATTTGCATAGAGAAATTTTAGGTTTACCAATATTTGAAGCAGCCTCTCAAGGTTGTCTTAAATTACTTTCATTACACATTAGAAGTAACTTTTGCGCACCAGGAGAATATCTCATGCATAAAGGGGATGCTTTGTCATATATTTATTATCTTTGCAATGGTTCCATGGAAGTTGTTCAAAACAGTATGGTCGTTGCAATTTTAGGTAAAATATAAATAACTTTTTAATCTTATTGGAAGAGAACTTTATTCTTTTTTAATTATTATTATTTAACATTCGGACTTTATATTAAATCCTTTGTACTTTGTACCCTGAATTCCAACACGAGAATTGGTATGAGTATTTATTTGAAATTTTTTTTGTTAAATAAATGAATATATTTTATATGTTTTACATTTATAATTAAAAATATATTTAGAATTATTAAAAATTTTACAAATTTAATTTATAAATTATATAAAATAATTTATATATTATATAAAATAATTTATATATTATAATTTATAATATTAATATTATTATTTTGTATAATATTAATTAATATTATTAATAATATTTATTATATTATTTATATTTATATATTAATAATATTAAAATTTAATAAATAATAATTAATATTATTATATTATATAATACAATATAATATTAATTTATAAATTTAATAAAATTTAATAAAATTATTAAAAATAATAATCAAAAAATGTAAATATAAATATGTAAAGTATAAAATGTAAAAATATTTTTCCTAATAAATTATATACAAAGTTTGTGATAAAAAATTAAAAAAAAATAATCCTCGAATACAAAGGATAAAAACATTATTGGGATGTAACAACAAAGAATATTTTTCTTTTGTGTATGTACAATCAACTAATCAATATAATCCAATTTATTAAAGGAAAGGGTGACTTAGTTGGTTGCGATATAAACGTTCACCTGCAGCATGGAAACAACGGAGGAGGAACTGTTGGTGGTGGATCTGGTGGATCCGATGTCGTAGTAAAATCTAGTTGCGATGTCAAAGCTTTGACTTATTGCGACCTAAAGTGTATACACATGCAAGGTCTGGTTGAAGTTCTTCGTCTTTATCCCGAGTATCAGCAGGAATTTGCACATGATATACAACATGATCTCACGTATAATTTACGCGAAGGTTACGAAGCCGAGGTAAGCCGTTTAAATATGTAAACTTTGGAAAACAAAATGCAAATTTTAAAAGAAGAAAAACAAAGATATATAAACAAAATTCTTAAATACGAGTCACTTTTTCTTAAATAGTTGATATAAGATTAATTTTAATTAGTCAAGAATAAATTCTTTTCATATTGTTACTTAACAAAATCAATGGATTACAAATTTCTTATAAATTCGTAAAAATAAATTACAGTTGTTTCCTTTTTAATTATTATACCAATTAATACAAATGATATTCATGAAGTTTCATTATAATTAATCTAAAATATATGTGAAATTTTTTAACGAATTTTTGAACTATTAGCAGGAGTCAGACATGAACGGTCCTTCATTAACATTACCGTCAATTAGCGAGGATGATGAAAATATAGTTGAAGAAGGGGAAACGTCACCTCTCTCCCCGTCGAATAAATCGCCATTACATACGTCGTCTAGTCCCCGACATGCTAAATTCAAGTAAATAAATATTTATATACATATATATGGGAATGAAGGAAAATGTAGTTGGATGATATATGTAATACAAACATATATATTTCATAAATACTTTTTACATCTTTTATTGTTTACTTATATTAGGGACGACTACAGAGAGGGAAGAAGAGGACCAGGTAGAGGAGTCATCGTGAAAGGAAGGGCAGCACAATTAATCGCTCAAGAATCTATGGAAGAACATATTCGTGGTTCCGTAGAAAGATTGGATACGCAGGTTTTAACGTTGCATCAGGATGTAGCTACACTAAGTAGCGAAGTAAGTGTAAACAAATTATTCATTTGTTACCATTACATGCACATTAAAAGAACAGATTTAACGATACAAACAATTTTTGATTCGATAGGTAAGAAATGCCATTCAAGCTCTACAAATGTTAGCTTATTCTCCCCAAAGTAACCCTAATTTACCAAGACCAGCCAGTCGTGGAAGTGGAATGTTAGCAAGAAGTTCCTCTCATCCACCAGATGCAATCTGTTGGAACCCACCAGCTAGATTAATTGATACCACAACTCAAACGGATTGGCCAGTTGATATGTTTGAAGTTTGGGTTCGGGCAAATCCCAATCGTGTTTTAATGATACTAGGTCTTGAACCAGATTCACTACTTAGGTTACAACCATCATCACCGACCCAGTCACCTTCTTCACCACCACCACCACCTTATGAACCCCTATCTCCATTAGCAGGCACACCACCACAATCACCGTCCCCATCTCGTCGTAAGTACTTTTTAATTCAATTCCAATTATCGTCATTTTTATAATACGTTCGTATTAAATAGATTATTTTTAATAAGTGTTAATTGTAATTACAAAATATAAATATTGATTGAGTTATAAAATGATTGCAATTTTAATATGAGACTTGTTGATTAGTTCAATACTTATTGTAAAATAGGAATAATAATTTTGTTATAACATGTATATCAACATAAAAATAGTGTTTTATATTATATTATATTATAATATTATTATAATATAACATTATATATATTATAATTCTCTATA